TTTCGGCAAGGCTCGGTCCTGCGAACGGGTGTCATACACCTCGGTATTTGTCCTTTCTTGGTTTGTTTTTGTTTTGTGCTGCTCTCTGTCAGACAAGACATGATTCTGCATCCGTGCCTCCGAATTTATTGAGGTGCATCTCTCCGATCTTTTCAATCCTTTATTTTCTAGTTAAAACCAGAGGAGTTAAAATTTTCTTAAATCGTGCCGCATCCCCCTCGTCCTCCTGGCTGCGGAGGAAAGTTTCTAGTGAAGACTGCAAGAGCAAAACCTCCAGTGACGTTTTTAGGACCAGTTACTGGCTTTTTTTTTTTTTTTTTTTTGGCTTCTTGGGGCTTTTTAGTATGTGAGGAACAGATTGTAGGTGGCCTCAGTACATAGTTGTGTCCCTGTTTCTCTGCTCTTTTAATTGTGGTTGGCAAACTGGGATCCTGATGTCAGTATAATAAGACTTTTCCTAAACTCCAGCACATCTGTGTAAGCTGTGTTTTCTGTTCAGTGGAGCAAATATGTCCTACCTTCCTTCTTAGTTTCTATTGTTTTCAAATGAACAATTTTCTCTTTTGTTTTGGAAATTTTTGGTGGAAATTTTGGTTGCCATCTCTGAAGAGAAGACTCATGCTCTTCTGTTCCCTCCTCTTGAGTGCTGAGTTGTCAAAACTGGTGACGTGACAGTCAATAATTGCTAACTCTTCTGTGTGTTTAGCAGTAGATGAATGATATTCACAAATGCAAAACTTAAATGACTTGTGTGCAGCTGACTTGTTCAGTGACTGAGTGGGTTGTCTTCCTGGAAAACGGGAAAAGAATTGTGCTTGGTAGGTCTTAAATATGCAAAATAATCAATGTGTTTTTTTAAAAAAATTGGAAGGTTGGGCAAATCAGAAGGTACTTTCTACTAGTAATACTGAAAAGCCAGTCCTTTGAGTTGCTTTGTAGGCTAATTTAGACTAAGTTTTAGTAATTCTTTATTATCCATCACAGGCACTGCATACATCTGAAATCTTAACCTTCTTGGAAGGCTTTTTATAATCGTGACTTTTAAGAGTTTTGTGTTGAAAAAATCCTAGAGTTGCCATAGTATATTTGCTTAAAGCTGAAGTACAGGTAGAAGGAAAGATATGGTTTCTCAAAGTGTGGGGGTATTTCAGCCACTTACTGTGCACATAGAATATGACTGTGTGCTGTATTTTGTAGTTTTTCATCAAATCTGTAGCTTGCTAAGGTAGCCTTGTGTACATATGAGAGTGATTGGAAGTGATAAAAGACGTGTAACCATTCTTTAAAAACATGCTGTTCATTCCAGGCATTTGTATCTGCTCTTGGTTAGAACACACTTTACCAAAGTGAAGTTAACGTGCCTTTGTGTCTTTCTGCCTAATGTTTGTGCCGGTGATCCCATTTAGAGCTGTGCTTTGCGTTAACAGATTTCACTTCTTATTGCCAGTCCTGCCCCCTTACCAGGGTCAGGGCTTCTGGAGCTGCAACCTGTGCTAGGCTGTTGTTCATATTTGCACGCAGGTACGTCACTTGTGCGAACACTGGCAAAACTGAGGAGGGTGGCCGTGATGGTGTTGTCAATGGCCCTGTGAGGTTAACCTCCCACTGAAAGGCAGCAGGAGGTGTGCTGTTTTATGGGTCCTGTCTTGACGCGCGCTTGCCTCATCGTGTAGCTCCGTGTGAACGATACTGGCAGCCAAAGCTAGGGGTGTTAAACAGTCGCTTTGCTATTAAAGAATGTTATTGTTTGCCATTGAAGGAGAACAGAAGTGCTGTGGAAAACTGGACTGAAATTACACATCTGAACTTCCTTCAGAAATTTGTTTGCAATGAACTGTTCCAAGAGATTGGGAGAGTTGCTTTTGAGCTGTGTTTGTGAAGACTTGCCCAAAGATTTTCTGGTGCTATTATACACATTTATTGCTTGCAAAGTTTCTCAGTATATATGTTGTTTACAGTTGTTTTGTAGGATATTTTTAGACTTGCTGGAAATAGTATGTTCTGATGCCTGAGACACCATGTACTAAAGGTATCCCTTAGCTTTATTGTCGTCAAGTTTTAGAGTTGAAAACTGAATGGTTTGAGATGGTATAAAGTCTGAAATTTGAAATACTGGCTCAGTCTTGGTAATTACATTATTGTATGTTGGGAAATAATCTAGTTTCAAAACATTTTGATTGCAGTTAACGTGAAATGGGGAAAAGAGAAATTTGATGGTGTGGAGCTTAACACTGACGAACCTCCAATGGTCTTCAAAGCCCAGTTGTTTGCACTGACTGGAGTTCAGCCAGCTAGACAGAAGGTTATGGTTAAAGGAGGAACTCTGAAGGTAGAAATCCATGGTTTTTATCTGTTTTCTGACTTTATTACATTACAACTTAATGAGCAATGACCATTTTCTGAAAATCTTTCATTGTGTATATTAAACTTTTCAGAAATAATTCAGTATAATTCATTGCTTACTACTAGAAAATACTGGCAAAAGTTTGTTGCTAAATGTTTGTACACTGCTGTTTTAAAATACTTCTTCACTCTTTTGTACCAAATACTACTCTGCTTGATGGATTTTTTTTTCCTCTTCCTTTTTAATGTTCAGAATCTGAATGTAACTTTTGGCTTTTTTAGCTTGCTTAAGGTGAATTTCTCTGGCTCTTCTTTGCTGGAGACTTATAGGTGTAATGCAATATATAGAACTTTCCTACAAAAAGTTATTTATGTCTAAGCAGTGTTAAACAACAGATGAAGAACCTTATTGAAATGACAGTTTGACTGCTTTTTGTTTTAGTGAGACAAGACTTGATGATGTGTTAATGTTGTGGAATCTTGGATGAAACACAATTGTATCTTTAGAAATTTGTGATTAATATTAATGAAAATACTTGCTTGTTTTTTTTCTACAAGATAATTAACTTGCCTTTTATTTCATTTCAAATACAGGATGATGACTGGGGGAACCTAAAAATAAAGAATGTAAGTTCCGAGGAATAACTAAATTTTACTAGTTCAATTTTTTGTTTTGTATTTGAAGAAAGATCTAAAGTTCTTCCCGTTTCTGTTTAAATGGGTCATACCTAAGCATTCTTACCAAGTCCTCACCTTTTCTAGCATCAGTAGGGAAATTACACAATCTTCCTGAAGTACCTGGGAGCATATCTGTATTTCTTTCTTTCTAACAAGAAATGTTCTGCATCATACCAGTGGTCCTTCTGTGTTGTCTGTCCCTGACTACAATAATACATAATATTACTTAGAGCTTGTGAAATGCTGAAGTTACAGCTCTGCCTATTTTCTTTTTTTTTTTTTTATCATCCAGCTGAAATTTGTTCTGTACTAAGTAGCTGCTGTTTAAAAACAAAGCCATTAATAATGGTTATTCATACCTTTGAATAGTTAAAAAAAAAATGAATTATTTGTCTTTCTTACCTATATAATATTGTAACAGGGAATCCCAGAAATTTTTGTTTGGGTTTTTTTGGTCATTTTAATTTCTTTAGGTATCTTATAACATCTGTTGGGTACAGGTTTTACTCCAGTTCTTCACTGAGCAAATTAAATTAGGTAGAATTACTCTTACCCTTGTAATTAGTTTGCAAGCAATGATGCTAACATGTAGCTGCAGCTATTGTAACAAAGTCATTCAGCAAAACCAGTATATAGTATTCTTGTCCTTTTCTGCATACTGTTACACTAAGAGCTACCTTTACTAATTTTAACAATGTTATATACGAGTTCTAGGGATTTATTTACACTGTCAATGCAGTTTCTTTCCATTCTGTTGTCCATCCTTTTCCTTAGCACTATGTTTTTCAAGGCACCAGACAGGCATTTTCTCTGCCTTTGATAGACCTTTTTATATAGATGTACTCCTGTTGAATGCTGAAAAACTCCTTTTCCTTATGCTAGTCCAGCAACCATGGTAATTGATTGCCTTTTTTTTCCTTTCTCTCTGGAATGTTAGTCCTTATGCCTAAACTGACCGGGGTAATTTTTTGTTATTTTTCACTTTTCAATTAATTTAATGTTTGCAGAGCTTGACAAACCAGAGGATGGGGCTTCCCTTTCCCACTTGCTTTTCTGGTGAAAAAAACAATTTGAAACTCAGAGATGTGGTCCTCATTATCACCCACATATGTCTGAAGTGCTTCCCCTGATTCTAGACTAAAGATTAGGGATTTTTTGTTGTTGTTCAGAGAATTCTGAATTTGAGAACTTGAGACTCTGTCTATTGAGAACCTCAAACATTACAGCTTCTTTCAAATCGGAAGTTAGCTGCTCAGTTATCCTTGGTTCCAAGGTATTTTCTAAGACTTAAAGGAAAGAGGAATACTTGCAGTGAAGCGTTGGAGGTGCTTGATCCCTAGTGGTCCATCAGGAGGGGAGCTGTTCTGAACACTTCACATTGGGATATTCTGTGAATGTTAAATTTAGTCCCGATTGGAATCCGGTATTGTCAGCTGCTGGCAAGCTCACCAGGCTCAGTGGAAACATCTAGCACAAGTAATGCTGTGGAATTGTTCTCAATAAGTACTTTCTAGATATTGAGAAAGTTAAGGTATACCCTTGAGAAACAACAGGGCAGCATCAGTTGTGCAAGCTAAGAGAAAGATTGTGTTTATTTTTGGGGAAATAGCTGGAATATGTCAAGAGCTTAATGACCTTTTTTAGTTGGAAATAAATGGCCATAAATATTTATTACTATTTTTACTGTGTTTCAAGGGGATGACCTTATTAATGATGGGTTCCGCAGATGCACTTCCGGAAGAGCCAATTGCTCGACCCATCTTTGTAGAAGACATGACAGAGGAGCAGTTGGCTTCAGCTGTAAGCATATTTCAGACTTTGGTTTCTTGTAAACCTTTGAATAATGGTAAATTTTTAAATACTTGCAGTTGCTTAAAAGTGGATTTTGAAACTGTAATGTCTGTTTAGGACTTATAGCTTCTCAAAGAAATGCAAATTTATGTTGGGTTTTTAATGAATACGTGCAGTACAGATAATTGAATTTTGATATATAACAAAATCTGAATAAGAGAAATGCAATAGCAGTGATGAGAAGTCTGCAATTTAAAGTCATATACCTAGTGCTGTTTTTTCTTTAAGCAGGCAGCTTAGTACATTTTCTAAAAATAGCATTTCTGATGTTTTTAAAGAATAAGTTGTATTGCCCTTGCTGTACTAGTGTCCTGAACATTGCCTGAATAAGGGCTCTTAGATGTGCAGAATTTTTTCCTCCCTCCTTCAGATCTGTGAAGGGAAACTGAAGTTTATCTGGGGTCAGATGTATTTGGGGTTTTGTTTGTCCTTGTTAGTAGCATTAGGTAAACTTTTCTTTCTGAAAAATGAAAGTAAGTTTGACATGAATGGAATAGACCGTATGTTTTCCTTTATGGGAGTAAAGTCTGGATGAGCATAATGAATTTTTTTTTTAGTGAAGTAACTTATTTTTTGAGTTGTTTCCTTTTTTGACAATTTGAAAGGCTTGATTTTCTCATCAGTCATTTGAACTAGCAGTTCTTTGTCACATTTAAAAACAGTTGCGTGACTGTTGTCAACTGCGCATGGAGAACAGGAATTATTTTATGCATGTCTGTATGAAAACGGATCTGTAGTTTAGCACTGGTTTTGTCCTTCAGTATTTAATGCTTTCCATGGCACCAGCAGGTGAAGGATGTTCATGTATTTTTGAGACTAACCCTATACACAGACTTTAAGATAACTGAGAGGCAGACAAGGAGATGATTCAGTGTCAGATGACATTTCGGAAAAGTTGGTCATATTACATTTCTCTTATTCATATTTTGTTATACATCAATATTCAATTGTCTGTACTGCATGTATTCATTAAAAATGGAATACACAGCTAGATGAATTCTCTCTTCCTAAAATAATTAAGTGCTGTTTGTATGCAGTCTTACTTCAGTTTCATTAAACTACATTATTTTCCCTGACAACTACTCAAATATGCAGGATAAAAAAAAAAAAAAAAAGAAAAATGCTATTGTATTGTGATTTATAGTTGTTTTGAAACTGGATAGTTAAATTATTAGTTGGCTTTCACATTTGTCAAAACTTTAGAAACTCACAAGTTGTCTAAAAGGATCAAATTAATGATCTGTTTGAGACTTTTGGAGAGGAGTTTAAATAATGCTTTTGTTTCTAACTATGAATTTCATCACATTCAGAGTTTTACTGAAAAGTGCTTTTAATTGAAGCATCAGTGTTTCATACAAATGTATTCCTGTGGAAATTTCGTAGAAATAAAACTTTAAGGTCAAAACTTGAATGAGATTGTAATTGAACTTTCTGAATGACTGCACGCTTGAAGAATATGCTAATTGAACTACATATGCACAGAAAAGCCCCAAATAATTCCTGAATGTCCTCTGAAAGCACTGAGTGGTGAAATGATTTCCACTGGAAAGTGGATCTGGAAAACTTCATAAACTTTGGAATATTCCAAGTTTTACGCATCTCTGATCATTCCTTTTCTTAGAAATTGATGTCAAATTATAGCGTTTATACAAAAATGGTTGCACATCTCTCTCAGACCTTCAAGCGCCCTTGTAAATTTTTTTGGTAGATGGAATTACCATGTGGATTGACAAACCTTGGCAACACTTGCTACATGAATGCTACGGTTCAGTGTATCCGCTCAGTGCCAGAAGTGAAAGAGGCCCTTAAAAGGTAGGATTCGGTACAAAAATACCGTGACTAAAATGTTTTCTTTAGCTTACGAAATAGGTGTTTTGTGGAACTGTTGTCTTAGTACTGGTATGGATTATCATAACAGTCTGTTATTCTTTAAATCTATTCAAGATTAACATAATGATCAATTAAAGTTTATCCTATATCTGTGTTAGCCTGTCCTTTTTAAAGAACTTTAGGCTGTGTATTTTTTGGAACTGGCTTTTAGTGGAGAGAATGTGTTTTGCCTAGCTAAAAGTAGTTCTTATCAAGACTTGTTTCAAATGCTTACACGAGCTACTGAACTGCTAACCCTGTTTTCTGGTATTAGTTTGTATGGCCTTGTTCTGTATAAAAGAATCGTACGGGAGTCCTGTGCCTTTGAGGAATATATTTTTTCAGTTGCTTTATTATACGATGTGTTTTCAGCTATGAAATTCTGGTGTTACTGAAATTTGATACTTGGAGGTACAGCAGGAAGCCCTGAGATAGGACCATGGGTGTTAACTGTGGCAGCAGACTGGAATTAGCTGTCGAATTAGCTGTCTTGTGGATGTGTGGGGAACAGAAGACAAGCCATTATGGAATTTCTTCATTTGTTCTGATTATAGAATAACTTTTTTTCTGAATTTTGGAATTTTTTTTTGTTATTCTGGACTGAAATGTGGAAATGGCCGATTTTTTTTTTTTTTTTTTTTTTAATCTATGAGAAACTTGGGAAATTGGGAAGATTGGAGGAAAAAAGAATACATGGTAATGTGAGCCTGAATTTGTCCTCCAGATGAATTACAATGAGAAGACCATCAGCATTTAAAAACTGTCAGAATTAGGTAGAGTATTGCCATCTTAGGACAAGGAACTTACTTCCTTTAAAATACACTGCATTCTTGATATCTTGGTACCCAACTGGATATTCTAGATTACTGTAAACACTAGTTATTTAATTACTTAGGATTTTTCTTCATTCTGTTAGCTGGTGAACCTTAATTATTTAGCACTGAGAACTATTTGTGAAATACAGAAACTCTGTTTTAAAAGCTTTTTCTTGTTTTTCAGTGTTGTCATTTTAGGAAAGTCCATTTATTTCCACGTAAAGGACTCTGAGTTACTGCACTGAATCAGAATATTTGACAAATATGAAAATGTACCCTATCAAAGTGCCGGATTGCAATACAAGTCTGGCCTTGCTGTCTGTGGTGGATTCACAGGCAGCCGCTCTTTTTTCCCCTTGAGACTTAGCCTTTATTTGGTTTTCCCTGCTTAATGACAGCATGGAAGGGTGTAGGGCAGTGGGAGGGAAGTGAAAGGACTCACCCAGGAAGGCTTCCTGTTAGAGCTTCATTTCTTACCAGATGCTCTGTCGATCTGTGTAAGGGTACTTACTACCTGTTCTGCAGCTTGACAGGAGGAAAGTTTCCTGCTCATTATCTAGCAATGGTGTCTTGGTGTCAGGACCACCACCACCACGTGGTCGCAACACCGCCTCCCCCCCCCACTCCTCTCCCGGTAAGATGGGGGCAAATAAGAAAAAGTGGAACCTCCTGAGTTGAGATAACGACAGATTTTTAATAATACCACACGAGGAAAACCAAAGAAAGGAGAATATAACAATAAGACAGTATATAGAGTATAATGGAAACACTGATACAATGAAAATCTCACCACCACGAGCTTCACAAAAGAGACCCCTCTCCCGGCTAGCTTCCCCTTATATCCCGGGCATGACGTCAGCATGGTATCGAATATCCGGCTATGCCCAACTCCCAGCTTCTGCGAAGAATTAACCCTATCCCAGCTGGACCCAGGACAAATGGGCAGAATTCTTAAAGTTCATTCTGAGATGAAAGAATGCATGAGAACCCACCTTTTTCTTGAAGGCTTATATGCTTTGAGGACGCCATCTGTTCCTCATGCAGGTGGTATATTAAGAAATCATTCAGAGTGGTAAGTTCTAGTAATACAGGTGGACTCGCATACTTTTTCAGTGTGGGAAGTAGCTCCCCAAGAAGAATGTCTCACCTCTCACTGCTTTGCTTCTGCTGCAGAGGGAGGAAGCAAGCGTGCCCTCCATCTCTGTGTGTTTTGTCTGCTGTCTGTCCTTGCAGGTGGTTTGTTCCATATATCTGAAGAAGCTGTGGCAAATGTTTCAGAAATGGGTAGCTTCTATACAGTCATTTTAATCAATTTTTTAAAAATTGGATTGTGTCTTTGAGGCAAATGGGTTAGAAAAGCAGCATTGATGTATCCAGACTTCTCAGTCTGCATTTATTTGTTTATTGTGTCAAGGATGCCAGTTTTCCCTTGCTTCCATGCAGTGCTTGCAAAATAATGGAGAATTTGAGATGAGCGTGAGTAAATCTTACCTTCAGTTACTTCTGTTTCAGTGATTGATTTATTTTGATACAATTAAATAAATCTATCTGCTGTCTGCTTTATGATTTTAAAACCTGTCTGCTCTTCTTGATTTTGTTCAATTGCATCCAAATTATTTGTCTTCTCTTTTAGGTATGGTGGTGCCTTAAGAACTTCAGGAGAAATGGCCTCTGCTCAATACATCACTGCAGGTTGGTGTTTAGAGTAGAACACAGGGGTTCAGGCTAGCGTGTGATTTCTGCTAGCTGCAGATGAGAAAATTGCTGTTAGAGCACTGCCCATTTTTCATTAGCACATATGCCTTAGGAATTTCAGATCTGCTAGCACCGGAGGATTCATTTTGCTCTGTCGTTAATATCTTTAATGGTTATTCTGACCATGGCTGCAAAGCATACATTTCTGCATATTACCTAGTGCACACTAAGAAAAATAATATTCGCGTGTGATCTAGGCATAGATAGAAATCATTCATATCTCTTACTGTTTTGCATGGAGGCATAAAGTAACTGGAATTTCCTAAAGCGGACTCCAACCATCTGTTGATTTGATCATTTTGCACAGAAATATTTTAATGAACAGTTCTTTATTTCACTTAATAGTAGGCTAGCGCCGTACACCTAGAATATGTATTTCATTGATATTTTTTAATATGATTTATTGGCTGAGCATTATTGTTAAGGTACTAGCTGAGGCTTTATAAGTGGTCTTAGCCTTTACCCTAAAGATTCAGATTTCATAACTGAAATAGAAAGTAGTGTCTTCAAAAGTGAAGTTACTCTGTGTTGTGGTGATCTGGGTGCTCACAATGTGGGAGCTCACAATGGCCCCGTATCTCCAAGCTCTAACTAGAATTCTAGTTAGACCCCTTACACTTGAACAAGGGTACTACTTGTCCACTTTTTCTTTTTTTACTCTATTTCATTGCCCCACTAAGATCCTGGGCCAGGACACTGGGATTTCTACCAGTCCATTTAAGGAAAAACAAAACAATATAAGGAAGGAAAGGTCCAGTTTGTGGGTATGCCTGCTGATCGAATTTTGGGGTGGTAAGTTCAATGGTTACTCTATACAACCATGCCTGCCCCTCCCCTTTTCACTGCCTTTACTTCGTGTCCCTTGTTTTCCTTTTAAGGTGACAGCTCTGCATTTTAGGAGTCTTAATAGTTTAAGATCTGAGTAATTCTTATTTAAGTCTTTGGTGCTGAGCTGGTCAAGAACTTCTGCATGACACTTCTGGCATTTTTTAAAAATTGCTGTGTCATATCAGTTGTCCCTCTTATCAAGGTCAGTGAAGGTATTTCTTAAAGAGAGGAAGCAACTGATCTTGGTTCCTTGTAATCTTGCCTATATTCACTTATTCAAGAGTATCATTCCTTAGTCTCTCCACTTGTAAATCAGTGACCATGCAGACTATTGCCTACCTCACAGGGTTGTTGTGAGGATTAACAGGTGTCTCCAAAGTGATTTGTGGATTTATAATGCCATTATCTGGGTAGATAAGACACGTGTAGCATTGTGTCCAGAACAAAAAAGAAAGCCACTTGTATTGTCATGCAATCAGTAGCATTCATTGAATTGCACGTAGTTAATGAACTGTCTGCACATATGCATACACATACTTGTTTTCCTGGATGTTAAATTAAGCGTATTTTCTAGATATTTTAGTTGGGAAATATGAAAACTTTTCCCAGTAGCTGGTGAAACTTAAGGTGCTCTAGAGGATAGATTGTGAATGCCTTCTGGTATCTGTAGGTGTAGTCCTCTTGTGAAAACGTTGTTTCTCAGATGTGTTTTAAATGAAATCTTAACTACTCAAAAATGTTATGTGTGTATTTTTTTTTTCTGTTAGCAGCCAGGAAAGACAAGGCACTGTGCGCCAAACTCTCAGAATTGTCATGTTTACGCTTGCAAAGACATGTTCATGAATGAGATCTTAGGTGCACCTGTTGTGCCACCTGGAAAATTTGGCCCTGCTTTGGAAAGATAAAATTGGACACTGTTAAATGATCAGTCTTTAAATGTTGCTGTTGTTTTACTGTTCTTTTTAAACTTCCTGCCATGTTTGAATTGTTTTTCCACTTCTCAAAGCATTCACTTTTTCTTCAAGCTCTTAGAGACTTGTTTGATTCCATGGATAAAACTTCCTCCAGTATCCCACCTATCATTCTACTGCAGTTTTTGCATATGGCCTTCCCACAGTTTGCAGAGAAAGGTGATCAAGGGCAGTACCTTCAGCAGGTAAAGACTGATGATTACCTTATTGTTTGAAAATTCTGTAGTATGTTGGAAGCTGAGAACCAAGAATATTTTAAAACTTTCCTTCGCCTGTGAAAATAATTTATCCCAATGAAGTGCTTGCTTTTGTATTGTGTAGAAAAGTTGAATGTAATCTCAAGTGCTAGCTCTGAACATGTATAGTGCAGTAGGGAGAAATTTTTAGTTAAGGAATCTTTACATTTGGCTTTATAGTGTAAAGATTGGTGGGTTTAATATTACTAAATCATAACACTGCTATTCAGATTTAATGTTCTGTTCCCCTCCTAGGATGCCAATGAGTGCTGGGTGCAGATGATGAGGGTACTACAGCAGAAGCTGGAAGGCATAGAAGGTGATACAGTTATGGAGGTAATTGTAGTCTTACTCTAACCAGAGTTAGGATTTATAATATTGCCCTTTTGCTTCACATACTTTTTGCTAAGGATTATCTGTTTTGTGAGTTCTTTAGCATGTGTCTATAGTCCAGTAAGTGAATTTGCTTTCTGATGTGTCTGATCAGCATAATGCTACCTATGTCATGTTAGCTATGCAGTGGAGTGCACTATAGCAATACTTTGCCTTTGGGCTTTGTAAGGCACGCATTGGACAAGGATGACTGAGTATGCAGCAGCTGGCCTTGATAACCTGTGGATTTAGCACGTAAGAACTTTTTTTCTGGGAAAAACCCCGTCCTTGTGCTACAGTATTCTTGGCTACAAGAATGCTATTTCAAACAGGCAGCTAACTTAATCAACCTGAGAAGAAATTACTTGAAGATTTTCCCACAACGTTAGCAGACTGACTCTCTTTCTCTGCAAACTGTTTTCTGGAGAGTTGTGGCAGTGGCAAAAATCTGATAGACTACTCTAAAATTTAAAGACAGATTTAAGTTGGGGAGCAGGGAGGTGTGAGTTTTTGGTTGAAATATTGCTTGCTAATATGCTTTGACGTGCCTTCAACAGCATGCTACAAATACATTTGTTTTGAAACTTTCATACAGTGTAAGGAGATTGACTGACTAGGAGAAAATGCACCTATAGAAAAGGTGAAGAAATAGGCTTCAAAGAATTTAAATAAATGGGGTTATTTTGTCTGTAAAGAAGACTGTCTTTACATGCTATTTAAAGTTACATCATAAGAATTTGTTTTACAGACAGACTCTGGAGCTACAGCAGCAGCTTCTAAAAAGAAGAGTTTAATTGATCAGTTTTTCAGCATTGAATTTGAAACAGCGTATCCTAAAGACTAAGGCAAGACATAAAGAATGACAGTAATTTCACACTTTAGCAGCTGAATGCAGGGAGGATGAAAAGCATAGTCTAGAATTGTATAGAAAATAAAGGTGTGCGTTGGGGAAGAGAGGGAATGATGTATTGCAGGAGTACACAGAAGTTAAGATTGGGTATGCTTTGAGAGAGAAGATGATGTGGGGAGGTAATGGAAATTTACAGAAGAAAACCCCACTGAATTTAAACACCAGATTTTCTTTGCAGAGAAGATTGCCAGTTAACTACTTTAAGGATGCTGAGATGTTTTATGCACATAAAAGTCGTTATGTTCCTAAATAGCCTGGTTTTGGCTTGTTAAGGGAATGTTGCTGAGTTGCCAAGTATACTTGGCATAGTAAACAAGGACAAAAGATAGCTTGATTAATTTCTTATGAAATAAGTTAGATGCACACAGATTAGCAAAACTAATGCAGCTGACAACTTTCTAGTAGCTTTTTTATAGCAAGAACAAAAAGCATATCCCCACATTGGGGCACATATCTCATGCCAAGTATTATTCTTTTCCCACTTCTCCATCCCAAAATCCTGCCTGTCATTAAACTGACCACCACTTCTAGAAGGAATTATACTGTGCATTTTCTGCATCTGAAATAAGGAAACATCACCTTTGATGAAGTACTGTATCTCATAGCTTTGTAGTAATGAAGAGTAAAGGCCTTTATTAAGGTAGAAGTCAGGCGTGGGTTGGGGCAATCCCAAGCACAAACACAGGCTGGGCAGAGAATGGATTGAGAGCAGCCCTGAAGAGAAGGACTTGGGGGTGTTGGTTGATGAGAAGCTGAACATGGGCCGGCAGTGGGTGTTCGCAGCCCAGAAAGCCAACCGGATGTGTAGAAAATAATGAAGAAATGGACTTAATTTCAGTGAAGAGGACAGATACAAGGCAGGGAAGGGAGGCTGTGCATGTTGAAAGAAACAGGAAGTCTGGCCAGCAGCAGTTTTTCATTAATTGTAAACGACAATGGAGCATAATGTTTCAGGAGAGCTTCAAAACTTGGGATTGGCAGCCAGTTAGTATAATCTGTGTCCTGGGGGTTGAGTGGTGGTGAACAGAAGAATGAACAAAGCAGGCTTCACAAGTTTAAATGGTGATTAAAAAACTTACTTTCCTTTTTTTGGTGTGCTATCTGCCTCAGCTACCACTTGTCATTAGACATGAAGGAACAGATTGTTTAGAAGGAAGGGCTGTTTCAAATCTTCCTTTCTATACTACAAGAAATAAAAGTACTATTGATGCACAAGCACAGGATTATTTTATATTACTGTGCTGGTCAGCACATTGTTTTCACGAAAGCAGTAGTTCAGCTCTTAGTGCATGATGGTTTTCCTTAATTTTGTGAAGCATGAAATGTACAGAAGCTGAAGAAGAGGAAGTAACTAAAGGAAAGGAGAATCTGCTTCAGCTTAGCTGCTTTATCAATCAAGAAGTGAAATATCTGTTTACAGGACTAAAGTTGGTAAGCCATTACGACTTCTTTTATTTAATTGAATTTCTAAATGACCTGTGTTTTTAATCTATGACTTGGAATTGATATCTGCTGTCCAACCTTTACAACTTTCCAAGATTTTTTTTTTGTGTGTTCAATGGGAAGATGGCAGTGACAATGAATTACATGTTAATGTAAAGCAGACTTCAACAGAGCGTTTTCTTGGCCCTGACATGGTCTTCCCCATGCAGGTAACCAAGTGCAAGCCAACTTGTTACTTGTAATTAGGAACTGTTTCTTCAGCTGGCTTTTACTTCAAACTGAGCAGTATCATCATTTAAATATTCTGGAAATGGTTCCCAATAAGTCCAAAAGTCAATTTTAACATTGCGGGTTTTTTTGGTTGCTAAAAAAAAAAAAAAAAAAAAAAAACAAAATTTGGAATAATTAAACTTTAATGTTGTAGATTTTGAAGGGAGTGTTATTTTCCATGACACCACATCATCTTTAAACTGTTTATTTAAGTAGGACTTCTTAAAGTAGTCTGCACTTTTTATACATGCATATATATATATTTTTAAGGTTTATAAGTTTTATATAAAAGTTTTTAGGGTTTTTTGGAGAATTTGAAGGAACAAGAAGAGGAGCTACTACAAAATCTTTGGATTAACTACTTTTGCAGAGTATTTGTATAAGAGCAGGGATGGAAGCAGTGATCTGGTTTGTACAGGACTGGACCAAGTTGCATGGTTCTCCGATAATCTTTCTACCTGCTTTTTCTTTTCTGACAGAATTTAGAAGAAAAAGTCAGATAAAATAGTTAATGCTTACAAATTAAAAAGAGTATGAAAAAAGAAACCTCACTTTCAGGCCAAAAAAAGGTCTTCTAGAATTCTTATGCTGGATTGTCTGTAGCAAGTAAGTCACAACACTAACCACCAGGTCAGTCTTTCCCTGAATTTGGAAAGGTCCGTGGAAGCAGAGTATCACCACCTGTCTCCTTATACACAGCTCTGTCTGCTATAGACTGAGTTGAGAAACATGCAAATATTCCCCTAAAAAGAAACTTCAGATTTTTCTTTAGCTGTGTTCCCAGCATGACATGACACATCTGTAACAAAATCCAGATAACTTAAGTTGCACATTTTAATGCTGTAGAATAAAATTTTCTGCAGAGAGAAACTTTGTGTTGTCAGGGGTCAGGAATGAGGCTGGAGCTGACCGTATGAATGGGCATGGTCTTTCTGCCAAGGAATTCCAAAATCCTGTGTGTCGTAATGGCTGATAGCAACAGGAGAGACTGGCAGAACAAGGTTTAGTTGATGGTTTGTTTCTCTGTGGTGTACTTTTCTTTAAGCTCTGTTTTATGATGAATGAATGTGTTATTGCCTTTTTTTTAACAGCGTCTTCAAGAGGAAATCACCAAACTCTCTCCAACACTGCAGAGAAATGCACTCTATATCAAATCTGTGAGTAGTGCTTGTTGCTCTCTTTATGATTCTTTTAACTGTTGTCAATTTTCTGTCCCAAAACACAAAGTTATTGCTGGAACAGCGTGTGATTCATGTTTATAAAGCATCTGAATATCCACTACCAAGAAATTTAAGACCAGTTGAAAATTATTCATTGAGTACACTATTATATAGAGCTTCAAATTAGGAAGCCGTGTTATATTGCTATGTGTTTTTGTACAAATACGTTCCCAGAATAGCCTGTAACTTAGCATGAGCAGTGTTTAAGGTATAAAAGATCTGTGAATATCTAAAGTAATAGCTTTCTCTATTTTTTTTTTATAGTCTAAAATTAGTCGCTTGCCAGCATACCTGACTATTCAGATGGTTAGATTTTTTTACAAAGAGAAAGAATCTGTGAATGCCAAAGTTCTTAAGGTAAGTGGGATTTCTGCATATTGAAGTTTAATTCCTCTTTATGCTTTTCAAGGAGTTTTTATTATAGGTAGACAATTAAGACTTGAAGGCTATTTACTAAATTGTTTGCTTTTAAATTACATTTTAAAAAATTAACAGTGCAGTTTCTCCACCTAAGTACAAAGTAGCTTTGTTCCCAGTTGTGATGATGTGTGGCAGACTGTCCTACCAAAATATCTGGGGGAGGAGATAAGGGATAGAAGTGAATTTGTTCCCATACTGTTAGGATTTTTTTGTGTGTGTCTGTTTTCACCAGTGGTTCAGAGGAGAATGAAAACATGGCCCTCTCCTTAATTAAACAGTCCCTGGACAGTGTTCTAAAGTTGATGAGAAATGTTTATGCTAACAAACACTTCCTGTATTAGTTATTTTAATTGTCTGGCTTTCTGATTGACAAATACAAGAACCAGCTGCAAACAGCTAAATGTTCCAGTGTTGCTTTCTGTTGACCTTGGCTGACAGACCTCCTAGGCTGCCCAGAGAGCATCATGACAGGTGATGCCTGTTCCTTAGGAGAGAACGAAGGGAATAAAGATTGAAGGCACAATTAACTATTTTAGAAGATTGTTTGGATAACACAAATTGATGTTTTTGCAAGTGTACAGGCATTCTACATGCATTTTTTTTTCCCCTTAGGTCTGTGTAGGCATTTCCTTAGTATAAAAGTATGACAGCTAATAATGAAGAATCTAAATATTTATACTGAATGTAGTAATTTATGATGTTTTGTTTACGCTAAATCAGACTTTCTTCTGCGAAAGTATTGTAGCCCTTTAGTTTAAGTACTGTCAGCAACATTTCAATGGATCAAGTTGTCATAAATGTGATGAGAGTCGCATTTAATTGGACTAAGTGTTGTCTTCCCATGGGAGAATGCTTTAATGTGGAGTACCAAATGATGCTTATAATCTTTATGCTTTTTACTTCCTAGGATGTTAAATTTCCTCTTATGTTGGATGTGTATGAGCTGTGTACGCCAGACCTTCAAGAAAAAATGGTTTCTTATCGATCAAAATTCAAAGATCTAGAAGACAAAAAAGTAAATCAGCAGCCAAAGAATGTAAGTCTTATGGCGATTTCGTCAACAGTTTGATTAAATAAGTCATACATCTGAAATTGGGGTACCAATAAGGACTAGAGAAAACTTGACTTCCTTAAATATATTGTTTTCTTAATTAGCATTCAAACTCCTTAGTATTGAGCTTTAGATTTTTTTTGTGTGTTTTCATGAAAATACAATATCTGCTTGGTATGACTGCTTGATGAGACATGTTACATGCTGTAGATGAACATGTTGCTTACATTTTTATTTCAAAATGTGTTAAAATGTAGTGCTTCAGCTCACCATCATTATGCATAAAGGTTTTCTGTGAATTAGACAGAATTATTCTCTTCAAACATTACTGCTTGCTGGCAGGTCACTTGTTCAGTGGAGTATAGGCAGCTATTTCCTGCTCACCAACGGAAAAGGGTTGTGCAAGGAAGTACTACATGTCTGAGTGATAAAATTTCGAATGTATGTACTAGGGAGCTAACAGTCTGTACTCTAAGAACTTGGTAAATCTCTTACCCTGTCTTACATATTCTGAAGCTGACTTCCCTTTCTGTAATGAAAGAAAAAAGTAAATGGGCTAAAACTGTAGTGTTTTAGCTGTTTTTTTTTTTAGTATGCTAGTCTTTTCCTGGTCCAATTCTTGGCAGTTTCATTTAAACATTTGAATAAGGCTTGCATCTCTTTTTACACAGTTAGAGCAAGGAAAGAGTTCTATTTTAAAACAGACTCTACCTGGTATTTTCTTGTTGCCACTTCTGCTGCTAGCAAGTCCCTAACAAGGAATAAAGTCTTCAGTTGCGGAATTGTTTTCATGCTCCAAACCTGTAAATCTGGTGGGTAAACAGTCTAGGCAGTATGTGCTGAAATAGTTACATATTTGCTTTAAAAAGTGGTATTGTTTAGATTAGGTTTTTGGATATCCATCTAGAAATAGAGTAATGGAACTTGTTTCAAGTTGAACAAAAAATATTTATGCTTAGAAACATCTTTAAATGAATGGAGAGTTGGTATTGGATAGGATTGTGCTAAAGCTTTTTCAAAACCATTCCCCATTAACTCACATATTCTGTTCTTTAGTCTAGTAAAAGTGATGGTGCACAGAAAGAAGTTAAATACGAACCATTCTCTTTTCCTGATGGTGAGTAAGTAGGGAAGTAAGTCTATTTTAAAGTAACTTTTACTCATGTTTAAGTGGACCTGATGGTAGGAATATTTTGAGAACCCTAGTTATTTTTAAATGCCTTTTAAAATTAATTTTCTGAAACTGACAGAAATTTAAGGAATTAAAAGGTTAGGCAAGTCAAAGTGCTGTTGAGATAGTCAAAGATGAAATTGTTATCCATCTGTCAAGTTGATGATACATGGAAGCTATGTTTGCATGTAATGTGCAGTTGTTTTGTATGCTTCCTTGTCAGTGTGTGGTAGGAAGCTAAAATCAAAACAAACTTAAATTGGACTTTGAAAACTGCTACAGTGACACTAGTGTTGCCTAAATTTGGGGGGCTTGGAGCTTGAACGTTCTAAGCATTCACTCTGGTGTTGAGGACACAGTGCAGAAGTTATTTTGGACGTCCTTTTTACCCAAAATGTTACCATGCAGTGCTTCCTGAGTTCTGTGTGAGCGAAGGGGGTGTTGACTAGCTTGAGAGCACAGTGAAAACAGGATGTTCTGAAGTGCTGAGAAATGCAGTAAAGACTGGTTGGGGACTGTACCACCCTTCTTGGTACATTTGGAATTAGCCACTTTTTTCCATTGAAAAATTGAACAGTGTAATTGAACTAACTGCAGAGTTGTTGATCTACTGTACTTGAGTATTCTCAGCAGTGTTGCTGTACAGCCCGTGCTCAGTGTGTCTGTCCTTGCAGTCTCATGGCTTGTCCTGTATGCAGGCAGCAGCTGCTGTTTGAAGGAAGCATTGGCCAAGCCTGTCCAGAAGGTTTACTGACCACACATCCGTGTTCTAATGCTTTAAGCTACTACCTTTGCATTACACCTGGGATACATATTTATGTCATGAAAATGGACATACTCAGTTTCCTGAGGGGCTGTCCTGGCTGAAAGCTGCTGCTTTTAGTTCACAGTGATTCAGAATTGTGCTGTAAATGCGGTTTTACAGCTACAAGTGCTGCAGTGTGGCTGATGCATCTTTGGTCTGTGTGCTGTTAAAAAACACTAAACCTGTTCCTGTAAGACTTGCATAATTTTTTCCCCCTCTCTTTCTTCAGATATTGGTTCTAATAATTGCGGCTATTATGACCTGCAGGCAGTGCTAACACATCAAGGCCGATCAAGTTCCTCTGGGCATTACGTGTCTTGGGTTAAAAGGAAACAAGGTAAAAAACCAAAACCAGCAATGTTAATTATCTTTTTACAGCTTCTTTCATTTAAGGGGCTGTTAAGCATGCTTAGATTTTATATACCTAAATTACAAATACTCCTTTTGTTTTTCTTGCAGATGAATGGATTAAATTTGATGATGACAAAGTCAGCATTGTTACACCAGAAGATATTTTGAGGTTATCTGGGGGTGGAGACTGGCATATAGCTTATGTTCTACTCTACGGACCTCGCAGAATTGAAGTAATTGAAGATGAAGCTGAACAGTAGTCTTCAATTTTAGTCATTCTGCCTAGGTGTGAAATAAATGTTGATTACTGATCACTTCTTTAACCCCAGAGCTTTAGCAAGTGGATAAATAATCTGTTCAAACCTTTTCATGTGAAGAGGGACATTGTTTCAAAACTGATCCACGTACCAATTAGTCACTACGGGACTGGACTGCACTGCCCACTGTGGTGGTGACAATACTTAAAATAGCTTTAATGTCTTGCAGAAGATAATTTTTTTTTAAATGAGCTTCTTCCCTGCCCCCCCCTCCTCTCTAATGTCATCAAGTATTTATTACACACCTGTTCTCACATTTGTTACTCTTGCATGGTTTATACCACAGTTCAATAGTAGCTGTCCATCCTTGGCCTTACCTGGCAGTCTTGTTCGGAAGGTAGAGGAGAAACTGTTGGCTTGTTGCGTAACTCAGTGCTGCTGCCCATAGCCAACAACCATGGCTACAATCAAGTATTTGTCCAGCCTGACCTGCTGATTCAGTCTGTTCTGTTGCTGGCATCTCATGGCTCTAAAATAACTTGTGATTGACAATGTGTCTCCAGTAAAAAATAGTCTTGGTAGTGTAGGTAGTATGTTTCTGTTTTCACTTCTTGGGCCACCAATGATGAATGTCTGAAAGCAGTCATGTAATAAACCCACTTTTTTTTTTAAGCTGTAGGGATTTATCTGCTGTCCTGTTACTCTTTCATCCATACATAAGTCTAATATAGTGGCTGTAAAATGGGGTTTTGCTTATTTACAGAAACTTCTGTTCATTCCCCACAGGAGTACAGCAGCTGTATGCTAGTGGGAGGCTACAGTAAAAAAAAGTGTTACAGTGTTGGCCACAGCTGGAAAAGCAATAGGCCATCACCAGCCCTCAGCATCTGTGTGGTGTGTCCCAGTCCCTTCTGGGAGAGCCAGGCCACGTTCATATGAAATACCTTCAGCTGTGTCTTCGTTAACAGTGACCATGTGGCAAGTTTAACTGTGTCTCACTTGCTCAGAAATGACTCTTTTACCCTCCCCTGGGGACACTGGCTTCAGCTGTGGTTCTTCTGCCTTACAACAGGTGTTGCTGGTTATTGCATTGTTGCCATCACAGCTTCCCCTGGCCTAAGGGTGTAGTTTTAAAAAGCTGGATGACACTTAAAGGCAAGTTCTACCCACTAAGGAAGCCCCAGTGCAGTACTGGCTGTGGTCCCATGTACCCCACAGAAATAGCACATACGCCTCTGTTTTAAAAAGCTTGTTCTGTCTGATCTTGCAAAGAAAAGAGACAGTGCCTGTGCCTGGTTGCTGCTTTGTGGAACTATGTCCTCCCTGGCTGGTCCTATGATCAATGTTTCCATGCCTAAAGCTCCTACTGGCACTTGAAAAAAGCCTTTTCTTTTGAACAATTGTATAACCCTACACCTGTGAAATAATTGATCTCATTACTGGTCAAAAATGGGAAAAAAAGGTTGACTGTTTTTCCTTCCCAGAAAGTATTCTGCCTCATATTTCTGCTACTCTTGCTTTTTCCTAATTTTGAGATGTGTGCATTTAGCACATCTGACTACATGTTGTCTCACCAAGACAAGATACACTTAATGCATGGGAAGCTGAAACCCCCCTTAGGAGAAGGAGCAGTTACTACAATGGGCACAAGCCCACCATTGCCTGTTCTAGTGGAGTTCCTTCGAGGTCTGTCAAACCCTTTAGTTATGCCTTGGGGCTGGGAGCATGAATCGGTGACAGGGATCCCCACCGTCAGTGGCTGCCCAGGAGGGTCTCACTTCAAGCCTGTGTGTTTGAGGCCAGAGCAGTGCAGTCAGTTTGATAAGGTCATACTTGTGGAGCATGAATCGGTGACAGGGATCCCCACCGTCAGTGGCTGCCCAGGAGGGTCTCACTTCAAGCCTGTGTGTTTGAGGGCCAGAGCAGTGCAGTCAGTTTGATGAGGTCATACTTGTCAGATGATGCCATACTTGTCAGATGATGCAGAACTCCATGCACAAAATGACACAATACAACACTGCTGCTGGGTTGGAGAAAGGGATCGAAGCTAAACCCGGGGGACAGCTCAGTGCCTAAGTCTCTTGCATTGAACATGAGCACTGAGATCATGGTTCATGCCTGACGCATCAGGAATGTAACTCCCTGGACCTGGCCTCCTTCAGTCACCTTCGCTGTGCCCATCCTCATCCCCAGCTTTCCCAGTATTAAGGCAGCAGGGAAGCCCCCTTCAAGAGCCGTTAGCAATCCCCACACACCTCAGTTCCCACTGTGCTCAGTTGAAAGCGTTGTACCTGCAGTGGGAGGCAAGACTTGGGCTGTATTATTTCCCACAACTGTCCCCTACATCAGTCCATACCGACTTCCACTGAAGCACCCAATAATCAAATTCCTGCTACAGTTAAGTAAGTCCAAAGAGGGGAGCAGGCAGGAACAGGCCTCCAAGCTGGTACCTAACCATGCTGGAGAGTCACAGGTATGATTTAATAACTGAAACTGTACTCTGCAGAAAAAAGTTGTGTGATAACATAGTTTTCCAAACACTCAGCAATTAGAGAGATTTCACTGAATGGCACAAATTCTACAGAAGAAAAACAGCCACAAAACAAGCTGTAGCTAGCTATACCACAAGAACAGTTTGCTTTTTGAGGGAAAACAGATCCAGCTACACGCAACAGCTTGTAACCATCAATAGCCATATTATTAGACTGAAACTAGTCACTTTGCAGTGAACAGGGGACAAAAAATTTACTTTGTTTATCATGAGTCAGGGGAGTTTCTACATAGCCAAACATTTGCAGAGACTGAAGTTAATAATTACTAATAAAAACACATGGAAAAACCCCTGATTATGGACTGTCAACATAACTGCCAGAGAGAAGCAGTTCTTCATTTTTAGAGCAGACTGACCGCAGCACCCCTCCAGGGACACCGGTTCTTCACTGGAAGCGAATACTAGGACTTGTATCTCCATCACAGCCCTATTACTTTCTCAAAATTGAATCACTTGCAAACAGGTACGGTCTTCCCCACCACCCCAAGTGAGGATTTAGAAGTCCTTCACACCTACTCATGCTCTGAGAAACCCCAGAGAGACAGCAGGCAGTTAAAGAGACTATCGCCCGCTCTGCCCAACAGGAGCAACCCGAGTTCTGCTGCCACCAAACCCTCCGGCTGCAGTCCACACAGAAAGCTGCCTTCAGTCTCCATCCTCCCTTCTATGTTTCCGCTATCCAAGATGAAGCTTCTTATTTCTGGATCAGGATGACTAATCCTTTTCTCTGAAAGTCTGTACAACTGAACAATACTATTAAAAAGTTCTCTCATTTATTGAACATAAAATACCTATTAAAAAATCTGTTACCTAGCAACCATAGGAACAATTAACAAAAATGACAACAGACACAACTAACAATGACAACAACCACCACCAAAACCAAACAGCGACTTAGCACCTGAAGTGAGTTAGCTGCTGCTTTCGGTGTCATTGGTTAGGCTTTCCGCAAGGTCACTTAACCCAGCCTTGTTCAGCGCCATAATCAGATTCTCAGGGGTTGCATGTGCACCCTCCTGATCCTGCCAGGCAACCAGCAGCTGCTTAGCTCTCATCTTCACGTCTTCACTGTCTGACTCGATCTGCCGTATATCAGCATCCTTCATTTCCAAGTAGGGCGCCAAGGCCTTCCACTGCTCCCCGAGCCTGTTAGCAAATGACTCAATTTGTTCACCTGTCATGGCTTTGTCCCGTTGTGCCTCTGGACCTGGGGGGTGGGGAGGAAAAAAAGAATCACAGTCAGATACAGGGAATGTCTCCAGATACTGCACATGAATCTTCCCTGATCTGCCCCATTTTAAATCCCCTGTTTATTTACTAACAGACTGACTTACGCCTTTCCTTCAGTTGTGAAAACCTATGGCCCATGATAAAGAAAATCTTGGGGTTTATGTTATCTCCTGTTTGACTGAGAGAGAACTGCTAAAGCCTTAAATACATCAGAACTGCCTCTTCCAAATGAAAACAAGGATTTTGACAGGCAGCCTGCAACTATCAATACATGAGTCAACTATAATATTAAAATACAGAGTGATCTTTAACATTTAATTGTCTTTTGGACTGATTTTAGTCACTTTACTCAGAGTTAACCCAGGTAAAGAAGTTAGCCTCCCTTTTACTGAGTTACTAAAGCCTCATCTTCCCATTAGCAGCAGGACTGTGAATAGTGAGAACAGGACAGTAACTTTAATATCCCATCTGCCCGTGCCGGATCCAAGAGCCAGCATCCAGAGATACAACACGCAGGGGAGAAGGTGCTGTGAGATGAAGGCGTGAATGAGGATGGAAGGCGGCAGATTCCCAGGCAGAGGAGACAGGGAAGGACACTCAGGAGCACAGCATACCAAGGTTACAGGCAAGAGACAAAAATGGACGGACTGGTTCATGGGGAGGAATGAACAAGAGACGTCTGTCAGGATGCTCTTCTCACAGAGCAGCTTTTGCCTTTGAGATATTTTAAATGAAGAGGAAGTAAAAATCTCAGAGTTGGAATATTTCCATTTCTGAAAGTCCCATAACTACCCACCCCTGCAGGGGTTAGAGGGAGGCAGAAAGAACAGGAAAGCGGGGCGAAGAACACTGGGGTAGGTTTTTGCACAGCAATACTGACATTTTAGCTACAAACACGCTGCCAATGCTGTAAACATACATCACACAGCAGAGAAGGTGGAAGAGGCTCCTAATGAAAGTGCTAATCCAACTTCAACAGGCTGGATGCTTTCAGCAGGGCAGGCCACAAGATGGAGAGGTTGCTACTGGCACCCTGTGTCCTGAAAAAGCCGCACTTTCTGGTACAAATGCGGGTTCAAGTCAGAAGCACTGGGGTAACCAGGACTTGTGACCCTCAGCAGAAACTTAAAACACAGCTTCTACAATACATAGCAAGACAGAAACTGAAGAGACTGAGAACATGCAAATCTTACTTTCATTGTTTTCCTTTAATAAAGCATCATTATCTTCCTCATCTTCATCTTCACCTGTTTTTATTTCTTCAGAAGGAGGCTACAATGAGAGAACTAAACATCACTGGATGAATTTTGTCTTTAAACCGAAATTTTAAAGCTGTCTGATGGCCCCTGGAATGTGTGTTAGAATGGAAAACCTGGCATGATACCACATGAAAATTAACCATCCCCTCCAACTCAAAAAACACCAGTCTCCAAAACACTGCCTCCACAACACCAGTAACAACCATTCTAATAAAACACAGTATTAACTAAAAAACCTAATGAAAGTATCCACTGAGTTCACAGGATTCTTTCCTCTTCACAGCAACAACTAAGAATTACATACCTAGTTTTATCACTTTAAAAAAGAAAAAACAAAACTAAACTTTCAGTGAGACCATGACTGATGAACATTTTTTAAAAATTCTTCTTCTTCACTAATTTTATTCCTCACTCTGGTATTCCTCAAAGTTTTCTGTACTTTCAAACTTCTTAAAGGTGGCAAACAAATACACAAACAACAAACTTTTCACTCTCTGATTTAGATACTCATCAGCCAAGATGAACAAAATGCATCTTTTCCTACCTTTCAATCACTGGCCTTATCTACTTATTTTACTTCTTTCTTTCTTTCCATATTATTTGGTACATGACAGTAGCACCATCAGGAATATGGCATA